ACCTCAAATAATTTATTTTAGACTTTTAAAATTATCTTATACAAATATTTAAAACAATAAATTTTCTTAAATCACAATGTCAACTTCATCCCACAGGTTTTGGTGTACAACATCTTCATTTTTAATCAATTTGAATTGTTTTATAACTTTCCTTATTGCTTCTTTGACTCACAGGTTATTTAAAAGTGTGTTGTCCAATTTCCAAATATCTGGAGATTTGCCATCTATGTCTCTGCGACCAATTTAATTATCTCATGGTGAAGCTTCTGCTTCTAGCCAGAAGATGGAGTGACAGGCTCTGCTTCTACATTGCAATATAAAAGAACTAAAAATAGTCATGATATGGGAAGCAGTTTCAAGACACTGGTTTTTAAGACATTGTACATCAAGGGGAAAAATAAGGCAGTGATTTCTGGGAATAGAAAGCAAATGAAATCAGCCCCCAAATCCCATCAGCGTGCCGCCTGGGGAGGAATCCGGCCTTGGCACCGCGGGCGAGACCCAGGCAGAGCCTAGAGACTCCTGTGGACGTGGTGCTGAGGGCGTGGGTTCACAGGCTGCCACGCCTGCAGGGGGGAGGGAGCAGCAGAGAGAGCTGCAGACACCCCAAAAGGCTCAGGCGTGTTCAGCAAGTGCCTGTGTCTGAGGAGGAAAGCCCGAGGCCTGGGAAGGAGCCACCCACGGGATCCAGGGCACAGGGGCTCACACACCTAGCAGGGCTTGTTCTCCTACCCAGGTGCTCTAGCCTGCTGCCGTAAAAGACCTGATGAGAACAATTTTAGAGGAGGAAAAGTGTATTTGGGGGCTTAGCATTTCAGAGCTCTCGGTCCATAGAGAGCCAGCCCCATTCCTGGGCAGGAGGTGAGGAGGCACATCATGGCGGAAGTGTGTGGTGGAGGAAAACGGCTCAGGACGTGACAGTCAGGGAGCAGAGAAAGAGAGCTCTCCTCTCCAGGGCAAGATATAAACCCCAAAGCCTGCCCCAGGGACCCCACTCCTGCAGCCACACCCTGCCTGCCCTCCCTGCCTACTCTACCACAGATTGATCCCTGTCAGGGGTTCATGCACCCATTAGGTTCAACCTTTATAACCCAATCATTTCCCCTCTAAATTTCTTCACATTGTCTCATACTTGAGTTTTGGGGAGACATCTCACCTCTAAACCAAAACTCTAGACTAGAAAACTCAGTAGTTCAGAGGCCGGCGGGTGGAACATTCCACAGGTCTGCCTCTGTCCTGGGCGGTGTGCACATAACATAAGCCTACCTTTACACACACACAAGCTAGCACGTATGCACTTACATGTATGTGTGTGTGTGACTGTGTGAGCAACTGGCCAGAGGATGTGCACGTTGCCTCTGGGAGGGGAGTGGAAAGGAAGGAGAGAAGAAAACCACATAAAATAGCTAATGGTAAAGGACTACCCAGGCCGTCGAGGTAACAATCTGATGGAAACAGAGAAGCAAGAGTCACTTCTCAAACACAATTTCCAAAAGCTCAAGAGTTAAAAGCAAAATTAGGTTTTTATGACTTCTTTGAGGAAATTATTTTATTTTTCTTTTCTAAATTTTCAGGCTCTGGAAGAAATCATCCGGGATAAGGTTGACAAATTCCCCACATAAAAATTAGAAACTTCTGCACAAAATGTCCCAAAAAAACCCCAAGACAAACAAACAGAGTAGACAGAGGTGATTCTTCTGAGTTCATTGTGCAATAAATTCCACAAATCAAGGCACCCAAAACCAAACTGACAAACAATAAATCAGGACACGCACTTGCCCTACAAAGGAATTCCACCATGTGTTTCTTTTAAGTGGGGAGATCTACTGGGGTATTGAAACAGGCGCAAAACTTCCCAAATCCCTTTACCAGAGACTCCCGGTTCAAGCCAGTGCATGAGTTGGGCAGCTGTTTCCGGCTCCCAGTGCTCGCAGCTCCCAGGGGACAGCGGTCTGGTCTGCACCTGGTGGGTGCTGAACCCCGCTGTGGCTGGACTCCCAGGAGCAGGACGGCCTCGGGACCTCTGACGCAGGCGCTTCATGGACGCCCCTGTAACTCACCGCAGCAGGAATTAGGGCAAGGGCACGGGGCAGGTGACAGGGAATTTGGCCCTGGCACTGGCTGCTCTGGGGCCTAGGCAGTCCCTCGACTTCTCTGGGCTTCCTCATCTCTGCCCTGGCTCCTCGGGTGATCCTGTCATATAACCACACTGTGGTCAGCAACAGGCTTTTAGCAGCAGCTGATCCAAGGTTTTAGTGGAGGTGGAAACTCCCTACACCTGCCGTGGTAGCCGTCCTGTGCAAGCCGAGGTGTGCTGCTGTCCAGTGTCAGCAGAGCATGCGCCTGTGGGCAGCTCATGGGCTAGATAATGGTCATTCAGGACTAAGTTGCCCCTTGTGCACTCACGAGGCCCAGCCCCTCCTCGTAGCCTGCAAACTTCTGCTCCTGTCTGACGTTACCACCCTGCAGGCGTCTGAGTCTGGGACTCAGGGTCTCTGTCTCTTTCTGGGTGGATAACGAGGCCAGCTCTGTGGTTTCTCTGCAGTGGGAAGGAGGGTGCCTAGGAATCTTGAGGGTTCATTTCCAAACCTCATGTGGGAGGAAAGCAGCCTGTCCATCCCTGTCAGGAGCCTCAGGAGTCCCAGGACACGGCAGCTGCCTCCCATGTGGGCAGACCCTCAGCCTGCATCTGGCCCTGAGGAATCCAGGGGCCTTCGGAGAGGAGGTGACATTGCTGGATGAGCTGGAGCTGCCAAGGCATGATAGCGGAGTCCCTTGTGGTCGGCTGTGGAGGTGAAGGTGGAGGTGAGGTGAGGGTGGAGGTGAGGTGAGGGTGGAGGTGAGGTGAGGGTGGAGGTGAGGTGAGGGTGGGATTCAGTCTGCAGGTGTGAGCAAGGCAGGAAGAGTGAGGCATTGTGGGAGATGGGCTGCAAGAGACCCCACTCCTCCAGGGGGCAGGAGCCACCAGGGGTTTTCCCAGGAGCATAATTAGAAAGTCCCCTTGGAGCTAGGTGTGGTGATACATGCCTGTAATCCCAGCAACTCAGGGGGCTGAAGCAGGAGGATTGCAAGTTTGAGGCCGGCCTCAGTCAACTTGGCAAGATCCTGTCTCACAATAAATACAAAGTGAAAAGGGCTGGGGATGTAGTTCCGTGGTAAAGTGCACCTGGTTTTAATCCCCAGTACCAGAAAGAGAAAGAGAAAGAGAAAGAGAGAGGGAAAGAAAAGGAAGAAGAAAGAGAGAGAAAAGAAGAAAAGAAAGGCAGTGCAGCCCCCACCTTGGGACTGGTTTGCTGGGCCAATGCTGAAGGCAGGGGTGGGCTGGGAGCTGCCCCAGAAGTTCAAACAAGGGAGTGCGCAGAGGAAGGAGACGTGTGGCATAAGCCTAGGTATGGGGAGAAGACACGCATAGCAGAGTGCGTGTGTGTGTGTGTGTGTGTGTATGTGTGTGTTTGCACACGTGCAGTGGCCGTGGGGTACGGGGCACACAGCCCTAATTGCCTCATTCAGCTCTATTCCTGGGTGTCCCTCCTGAGTTTGGTCCATGCCCTGGGGACACAGAGGATTGAGATGAGCTTTGGTGAAGGGTCTTGTCAGCTGTGATCTGTCCGGCCGTCAGGGGCACAGCCAGGGAGTCCATGCAGGCTTCGTGAGGAAGGGGTCTTCCAGCAGGGGACACAAAGCCCAGGGAGCAGCGAGCTCATGGAAATCACACCCCTGCCCACCCCTGCCGATGCCACCCCTCCCTGGCTGCGCTTTGGTCCTGAGTGGGACCTGAGTCACAGGCCTGGGCCTCAGAAGGAGTGGGGCACTGTGGGAGATGGGCTGAAAGAGACCCCTTCCTCCAGGGGACAGATTCTGGAGGGGACCAAGGGGCTGTACATTGCACGGGACAGAAGAGAGGCTGCCTGGGGTGTGCCCACAAAGCCCCCAGAGCCTCCCACCTCCAATTGTAGGGCCGGGCCCCTTCACCTGGGATGTGTGCAGGGGGCACCTCCCTTCTTCCCCTGCCGGCTCCGTGAGGACGTTCAGGTGCGCTGCTGACTCAGGCCTCCCCGAAGCGCTGCCTGGCTGGGGCGTGGGGGGGCTGTGGAGTCAGGACCTCCCAGCTCTGCTGTCATGCTGAAGGGCAGGAACGGCATGGGCCCTGCCAGAGGCAAACTCACAGCCACACCTGGCAGAGGGACAGAAATAAACCCCTCTGGGGGCACAGGGCTGTTGACAGCTCTTTGGGGCGTGGGTCCACCGCGACAGGCCACCTCTCTCAAGCAGAGTGACTCATGCCTCGCAGGAGGCAGCCACTTCCTTTGTGTGCCAGAGAAACGTCGGCCAGATTGCTAAAAATGAGCAGCAGATAAAAATACAATCCTTGTCCCTGGAGCCACACCTCCTGGCGGTGTTGCAAAGAGCCTGCTCTGGAAACACCCGGCTGGGAGTCCAGACCCGACAGGCCTCCGGGAGGCACGGGCCGCCCTCTGGTGGCCGGTTTCCTGCAAAGACGCCAACTTCCCGTCTTCTGCGCACTGGCCCAGAGTCTGGCAGAAGCTCTAGGGCAAGCCTTTGAAGGTAAATGCACTTTTCCTTCACTTTCTGGACTTCTTGATGTAACGCCTAACGAAGAAATATCTGGTCCCCCGCCCGTGAGCTGCACTTTCTGTGGCATCTTCATAATATGTTCTGTTTCCTGTTCAGCAAAATAAGAAAGTAATGTAAGGACGAACCCTGCAGACAGGAGAGTGTGCTGTCTTTACACTTTAGAGACAAAGGAAGGTTTATAAACATGGAGACTCCAAGCTGCTGTGCATGCTCTCCATTTGGCTGATTTGCAAAACAGGTAAATGTGAAGAAGTCAAGGAATGTTCAAAGCGGCAGCACTGAAAACCAGGCCTCCGAGCTCCAATCCCCATGTGACTTACGAGTCATGTGACTTTGGGCAAATCACTTAAACTCTGCTATGGTTCACATATGATTCAAGTGTGTCCCTCGAGGGTTCATGTGTTGGAGGTGCCGTCTCCACTGTGGTTATACCAAGAGGTGGTGGGACCTTTAAGAGGTGGAGCCCAGGGGGAGATTATTAGGTCACTGGGGGCGTGCCCTGGGAAGGGGTTAACACAGCTCTGTGTGGCTGCAGGACCCAAGTCTCTCTCTGGCTTTCTGTCTGGCTGTGTGACCCTTCCTGCATGCGCTCCCAGCAGGAGGTTCTCACCAAGGGCTGAGCCAACCGACAGAGGCCATGCCCTTCAGCCTCCACACCCCAGCTATGAACCTCTTCTCCTTATACGTTACCCAACTCCAGGCATTTCATTTAGTAACAGAACACACCCTGCGTGCCTCGGTTTCCTCACCTGTAAAGTGAGGATGAGAATAGGATCTACCCAGAATTTTTGTGAGGGTGGAGCTGGCACTCCTCGGGCAGAGGGATGGCACCTGGCACTTGGTATGTGCTGCGTCAGGGCTGGGGAGTGGCACTGAGACGGCTGCAGCTGTCATCTCAAGGTGCAGGGCTGAAGTTGGAGCTTGCCACACAGAGGAGGGACGAGGCAAATATCCCTCACACAGACCCCCTCCCACGGCGGACTGGTCCTTTTCTGCACTGAGGAAATCAAAGCCTGCAGCTGTCTCCTCCCCATCCTTAGACAGATGGTTGTGGCCAGGTGACACCTCCAGGACAGGAGCCCTGGGGAAGGGACCCAGTTGGTCCCCCACCTGAGGGAAGATGAGCTGATGAGTCCTTCCCAGCTCAAGGACTTGTGACTCTGCTGGGAGCCACAACAGGTTGGAAGGATGACAACAAGTTCCCAACTGCCGTGGGGCACGAGAAAACCAAAAAGCAACGAATACTGAGACTGATTTCTTCAGCTGCCTCCAACTTGCTTCCTTGCTCCCTGCAGGGCCCCTCAACCAGGTGCCATCTGTGATCGATGGCCCAAGGGCTCCCCCCAGTGGCCATCTTGCAGTCAGCAGAGACCCCAGGTGGACTGCAGGGTTCCAGGACCAGAGGCAGCTAGAACCCTGGCCTCTGACTCTCAGTACGACCAGGCAAGGTCAGGGGGCCTGGGGGCAGAGGGGCTGCGCCCACACCCACACAGTGGTGGCCCTGTGGGTCCTGGATCAGGTCCTGTCTGCAGCCAGACCTGCACCCTGTGTTCTGCACTCAGTGACATGACAGGGCTGAGGTCACCCCAGGGGCTCTGAAGGCAGGACACACACTGCCGACTGACCCGGGGTGGCGTGCCGCACACCACCCCACCACAGACAGCTTCACCAACACAGATCGGACCTGAGCGGTCCCTGGGTTTTGGTATCTACACTTTTTTCTTCAGCCTCTCCAGGACACCAAGAATAGAAAACACAGAGGGTCACGCAGATTAAAACTGAAACGCACGCTCCACCGCCTTGTGCGAACTTGAACAATGGATTGAGCCCCATGATCCCAGTTTCCTCCTCTGTAAATGGGGTTAGGGTGGGGCTGTCCCCAGGAGGAGGACAGGAAGGTCCTCTGCCCTGGGGGTGAGCCCAGGAAGGGGAGGGGGCAGGCTGCTCCTTACGAGGACAAGATGCCCTGCCTCCTCTGCCTCCAGGAGGTTACAGCTCCCTGGGAAAGACAGACACCAGGACAGTGGAGACGGGGCCTGTGTCCTGGCAGGAGGAGTTCGAGGTGCTTCTGGTTGAGAGCAGGTTAGGGAGGGGGAGGGAGTGTCACATGGAGCTGATCCACGTAGAGACGCCACATCTCACACACACACACACACACACACACACACACACACACACACACACACACACACACACACACACACACACACACGCCCAGCATACATAGACACAGGTCGCAAGTGCACGTGTCTACAGTGCGTCTGTGTTTAGAGCGTGAGGCCCGAGGAGGACAGCAGTCTTCATGGGCACCTCGGGGAGCGGTGGACGGCCTGCTCCAGGGAGAGCAAGTGGCCAGGTGAGGCTGCTGGGCCAGGGAGGTGGAGCAGAACCTGGAAGCCATCACTGGGGGACACCGAGAAACGAAGGAGACTTTGACAGGAAGTGACAGGTCAGACGGGGAGTTCTCGGTGGCTGAGGAAGGTACCAGGATGCAGAGTCGACAGGACGGGGCGGAGGCCGGGTGAGGATCCAGGAAGGAGAGTTCAAGGCCGACTCCAGGGCTCTGGGTCAGTGACTCTGTGACTTAGCCACTGCAGGTGGCACCCAAGATAGGACGGGAGGCAGGGCCAGAAGGGAGGCACTGGGAAGGCAGAGACCAGTGTGGTTTCTGGTCTTCGTCCTCCGCGTCTGCCCTCTTCTCCTCAAGCCCTTTCCTACCGTGGTCCTGTCTCTCTGTTTGAGTGGGGTCCTCCAGGACTCCCAGGGTCTCTGGCTGCCCCTCTCTTCCGCTGTGGCCCTGGATGCTTCGGAGGCTGGTGGGAGGGTGAAGATGCGTGGGGCACGCAGGAACTTTCCTCCAACTTTCAAAGTTTGAAAATTAGGTTGGCTCCCGTGAATGCCCCAGAGGACAGTCTGCTGTGGGCTCGGTTCCTCTCCCCGCCTCCCAGCCCTCAGCCCTGCCTCTCCTCGCCCTCACCTCTGCTCAGTGTCAGGTTTAGAGCATTCTCTCCTCTCTGCCCTCTCTGGATTGCTACCAGGGGCTCATCTTTGAATCAAGCCTCTCCCCCAAACGAACTGACTTTAAAATACCAACGTTCCCAGCAGTTCAGAAGGCTGAGGCAGGAGGATTACAAGTTCGAGGCCAGCCTCAGCAACTGAGCCAAGCCCTAAGCAACTTAGTGAGATCCCTCAAAAAAGTTTTTGAGATGAAAATTAAAAATAAATAGATATAAAATGCAAACTTAGGCAGCTCTTGCAAAGGCCTTTGGAAATAGTCAAGCTCATGGCTCACTCATAAAGCAGACTGACTGTTTTCATGTACATTTGGGTCTTTTGGTCTCCCAATGCCACCTGCCCCTCCCCAGAGTGTGTGTGCCACTTGGGAATCATCAGGGTAGAGGCATGGTCCTCCCCAAGTCAAAGGGTGGACTCCCAAGCTGGCCAGCAGGACTCCCTGCCCAGACTCGACCCTGCCGCAGAGATGAGGGGGGAATGTGCTGGGTCGGGAGCTCACCATGGAGGAGGTCGGACTGTCCCCATTCCTGAGCAGTCTGTGTGGCCCTGCAGGGATGCCTGGTCTGTCCAGGGTCCCCGCTCCACTGCTTCCTGAGAGCAGGCTCAGATTGTTCCCCAGGCTCCCTCCACTTGGGTCTGGCCAGTGAGGTGGAGTTGGGATGGGCATTTCAAGAAATGGCTCACCACGAATCGCCCAGATGCAGGCTCTGCGCCCAGTTCCTGAGCAGAGGGGAGTCCAAGGACCCAGAGCAGGGTGGAGCCCCAGGACAGAAGACGCCCACAGGACAGAAGATGGGTGGCCGAGGGACCGCGCAGAGGAGAGCACCCCACGACCCTGACTGCTGGGTCTGCGCCGTGAGACACAGAGCCAGGTTGGCCCCGGAAATGACTCTGCCCTGATTAATTCGGGGGGTGCCCCTTCTGAGCCGCCAGCCTTCCGGTAGGTTCCATCTAGTGAAGGCCTCTCATGCTCAAGGTTCTCTACTCCGGGCCACTTTCTATTGTCTGCAATCAAAGAACCTGATGGTAGGAGCTGGGAGTGACTTTGGAGACCATTTCCCAAAATGAAGGTCCAGAGAGGAGAAGCAAATGTCCCTAGATCACACAGACGTGAACGGCGGGTCTGGACCTGGACCCGGCCTCCGGTCCTGGCTGGGCTCCATTGCCCTGGGATCTTCTTGCCAGGAACATAAATCTGGATTCTGTGATGGAGTAAAATGCACCGAGTCACCTCCAGGCATCGATTTTGCCCAGAGGACCCTGCGCCAGCCCTGGGGGCTCAGAGTGGGGATCGATGGTGGGGTCCGGGTCCCGGGACATAAATCACAGCGCTGAGAGCTCAGCAGAGCTGTTTTCTGGCAGTAAATTTCCTGCAGCCGCCGTCCAGCTCCCTCCCTCGTGTTCCACCTCGTAGATCAGACAGTGTTTGAAAGAGAGGCGGAGAGGAGAGAGGCCATTCCTCACCTGCTTGCTTTCCCTCAAGACTTTTGAAGAAACTTTTAATTCTGGAACAGTGTGAGATTCACAGACAGCACAGAGGGGTCTGCGTGCCCTCCGCTGGCTTCCCGCCATTAACGTCCCACTCGGGACCGTCACCAAAGCCCACGTTAACCCTGGAGGACCCCCGAGCTGCAGACCTTATTGGGATTTCCCAGCTTCCCCACTAAGGTCCTCTTCTGTTCCAGGCGGGTCTCTGTCCCCTTCTTGTCTGCCATGTGTCACGCTCGGCTCTTTCCTTGTTTTTCTTAGCCTCCATGGTTTGGAAGAATACCAGTCGGCTGTTTGGTGACTGTCCTTCCACGTGGGCTTGATATTTTCTCACGACTGGAGGGTGGTTATGGATCTGGGGGGTCTTGCCCTGTCTGCCCCGCCATGCACAGGGTCAGCATCGTTATCATCCCTGAAGTGACCCATGGCCCACTGGACATGGTGGTGGCCACTGTAGGGCCCACTAGTTTCCCTTTCCATTCCCTCCTTGTCATCCATGAGACCACATTCAGGGCAGGACATTCTCCCTCGACAGCTTCAAACATGGACAGTGATCTCCGTGGCTGATGGCCTCCTGCTCAGCCATGCAACAAGGGACCAAGGCAGGGCCCTGTTCCGTGGCCTGCTCTGTGGTCTGTACGGCTTTCCAGTGACAGGACAGCGTGGCAGGGAGCCGGCTCAGAGCTGGCCTCTTCTTTACAGCCTGGTGGAGGCTGGAGAGTGGGGGGCGGGGGGCGGTGAGGAGGTTTGGGGAGATTGACCTCCTGTTTCACCCCCACCAACAGCCCAGAGATCCGCTCTAGCTTCCCCCTGGGGGGAGCAGAGGGTGCATTTCTGCCTCAGCCTGCGAGGGGGGGGGAGTGGGGAACTGACAGAGGGGTGGGCCTGCTGGAAGTGAAAGTAGAAAAGGAGTACC